TCCTTATATGTTTTAGCCTCCAGTCCCCTAATCATCTTTGTTGCTCTTCTCTATGCTCTTTCTAGAGTCTCAACATCTTTTTTTACATCGTGGTGACCAAAACTGGATGCAGTATTCCAAGTGTGGCCTTACCAAGGCATTGAAGAGTGATATTAATACTTCACGTGATCTTGATTCTATCCCTCTGTTAATGCAGCCTAGCACTGTGTTGGCCTTTTTGGCACACTGCTGGCTCATATTTAGGTGATTGTCTACTAGGACTCCGAGGTCCCTCTCACAGTTACTACTATTGAGCATGGTGCCACCTATGCTGTACTTGTGCATTTGGTTTTTCTTGCCTAAATGTAGAACCTTGATTTTTTCACCATTGAATTTCATTTTGTTAGTTAGTGCCCAGTGTTCAAGTCTGTCCAGATCCTTCTGTATCTTAAGCCTGTCTTCTAGAGTGTTGGCTATTCCTGCCAGCTTGGTGTCGTCTGCAAATTTGATGAGTTCCCCATCTATCCCTTCATCCAAATCGTTGATGAAGATGTTGAAGAGTACTGGGCCCAGACCAGAGCCCTGGGGCACCCCACTACACACTTCCCTCCATATAGATGCAGTTCCATTGAGGACCACTCGCTGAGTACGGCCGGTCAGCCAGCTACGGATCCATCTGGTGGTGGTTCTGTCTACCCCACATTTTTCTATCTTGTCAAGTAGTAGGTTGTGATATACTTTATCAAATGCCTTACTGAAGTCCAAGTAAATTATGTCCACAGCATTCCTCTGATCCACTAATTTTGTCACTTGGTCAAAGAATGCAATAAGATTTGTCTGGCATGATCTATTTTTGACAAACCCATGTTGGCTTTTAGTAAGAAAGAGGCATACGGGATACGTTGGGCATTACTCACGTGGCGACAGTTCCTGGAAGGCAACAAAATCCCCTTCCAGGTGTGGACTGCCCAAAATGTGCTACTGCAAAGAGGTTGCAGGGGAAATCGCCAGGACTATTACAAACAGTGGCAAATCCCTCAGCCCCCTGAAGAGAAATAGCCATGGATTTTATTGTGGAATTGCCAGAAAGCAATGGGAATACTGTTGTCTGGACAATCACGGACTTGTTTTCCAAACAGGTGTACTTTATCCCTTGCCAAAAGATTCCCACCGCAAAAGCCTTAGCGAAACTTTTTGTCCAGCACATTTACAGATTGCACGGGGCACCCCAACGCATCATCTCTGATAGGGGAGTGCAATTTACGTCTGCATTTTGGAAGGAATTTTTATCCCTTTTAGGAACCACTCGGGGACTGACATCTAGCCATCATCCACAAGGAAATGGGGGGGGCGAAAAAATGAACTCAGTACTTGAGCAATATCTAAGATGTTTTCTTAATTTCCAACAGACCGGGTGGGCGGACTTACTCCCTTTTGCAGAAGTTTCCTACAATAATGCAGTCCACTCCAGCACTCCTTTTCAAATAGCCAACGGTAAAAGTTTCAACCCCATGCCAGAATTAACCCCAAATGAACCGACCATCCCATCACTGAAAGAATGGATGGAACAATTACAAGACACCTGGCCAATAGTTAGAAAAGCACTAGATGAAGCTAGGCAGGCATACAAAGCACAAGCTGATAAAAAAAGGGTTGAGCCTACACCATTCATTATAGGAGAAATGGTGTACTTATCCACAAAATACCTAAAATCCCTACAGCCCTGTAAAAAACTTGGACCAAAATATATAGGGCCTTTTCCAATTAAAAGAATCATAAACCCAGTAACAGTAGAATTAGAATTACCCAAAAATCTCAGGCAAATACACACAAATTTTTCATTGCAGCTTGCTGAAAAGAGAACATCAGTCACCTTTACGGCCAAACCCCACCACCACCTCCTCCAATCATGGTGGAGGGCGAACAACATTTTGAAATAAAGGAAATCCTTGACTCTAGGAGATATCATGGAGCGACTCAGTACCTAGTTGCCTGGAAACACCTCCCTGCCTCACAAAACGAGTGGGTCCATAAACGTCATGTCAGAGCCCCAAAGCTATTAAAGAAGTTTCACACAGAATATCCTAACAAGCTTGACTAACTTTTATACCTGTTTTGTTTTATTTCAGATGGATCTGTCTTTTTTTAAGGGGGCAGGATGTCAGAATCCAATTATATTTCATCTCTAGTTATCAACTATAGAAAACCCCATTTCTACCTTCTCTGGATTCTGTCATACGATGAAGGGAAGGGGGTGAACAAAGGGGCTTTATGGTCCTCACTTCCTTCACATTCAAAGGGACTGAATGTGGATATCACCAAAAGGACTAACCATAAGAATGGGGCTATTACCTTTCATGTAGTTCTCTCTGAAGTCTCCATCCAGCCGGCAGTAAGGAAAAAGGGGTGGGAGTGTAATGCCTGAGACTATCGCTGGAAGAAGGGGGTGATTGGGTGGGGCTACTGGGGAACCCCTTAAAACCTTGAATGGGAGAGCTTGGACCCCAAGTCCTGTCTAGAACGCCTGCAACCATTTTCTCTTAATAAAGGATGCCTGTTGGAAGAATTATTCCAAGAGTTCTGTCTTCTTAAGATGCAAAGTGGGGTGGGTCATTACAACACCAACCAGGGCTGATGGGAGAGCACCGTGTTCCAAAGCCAGTGGGGAGCACAAGGCCACCCAGTAGGTCCCTGTAAAGATAGGAGAGAGGATAGCCCAGCTCAAAGGGCTGCCCCCTTTTCTCCAACACCAAATGGCCTTTCTCAGAGCAGGGATTCCTGAGCAACTGCTGGGCTGACTTTCTACAAGAGATGCTTTCTTCCAGGTCCTCTTGCCTCTGATGCCCAGTCCTAAGGTTGTGTATGTTGACAGATGCAACTAGGCAGCTGTTAAGTGGCAACTTGGTTATGTTGCTGTATATCCTTATTCCATGATTTGTCTGTTTTCATTAATGTCAGGTTCCTTGAGCAAATATTCCCAAGGACATCCTTGTCTTGAGTAAACCTATCATTTTCCTTGTTCAGTGGGCCAGAGGGGCATCCACAGCCCCTCAATTTGATACATTGTCTTCATCTGAGTTCAGAAAGACCTTGGCTGAACCAACAGGGAAGCCCCCAGCCCCAGTCCTCACCTGCAGCTCTCACAGGTTGCACAGAGAGTGGTATGTTGGCAAGATAACCCCCATTGTAGGTTCATAGGCCTAAATTAGGTCTCGATTCTTGCTTAAATTATAGTTTACTGTTCTGCACCCTGCTCAGAAGCGAATTACCTTAAGCAGCAGTATTAATAACATGGTTATAATTAAGCTTCATTACTGTAGGCAGTTTGCTGAAACAAATTGCTTCTTCATTATTATTATGGCACCTTTGGTAAAAAGACGATTTCCCCAGCATGCGACCCTGATGCTTTATATGGTAAAGCCAGGCTCAGACAGAGACACGTGGCTGAATTAGCATTGTTGCCTCTTCTATCAAAGCTCATTAGAAGGAAGGAGACTCAAGTCACAACCAGGAATCCAGGCAGAAATTTGAATCTGGGTGAAATGGGTAATGAATAGATTTGAACTTTCCCTGACATTTTTATACTGAGGCTTTATTTATATTATATGTATAATAAAAATATAAATATTTTTTTTAAAGAGCAAAAGTGGGGGAAGAGGGAAGAGGCCAGAGAGATAGGGGAATATTCATAAAATCAGAAATAGTTTACTTAATTCTAGCTTGCCTCGTTCACACATGGGGAGTTTGTGTGTGTGGCTCTGATTTAAAAAAAAAAGACCGCGATTCTAAGTTCATTTGTTTGGATATAATTGATGCAATGCTATTTAATTTTGATTGGATGCACATAGAATTATGCTTTAATCGTTGAGTCCCACCTCATCATTTGGACCTCATCATTTTGGAATGAACTAAACATTCAGAGGTCTGTGCTATAGAATGCCTTTCCGTGGGCCTCCTGTCTGTTGGCACTGACTTTCGGCTGGGGAGGAAAGACCAGCAGCTGAAGATGGAAACTCCTGGAGGGTCCTCTCTGCCAGCCCAGCAGCTTCGTGGCTTCTCCTCTCCCTGGAGAAAGGGCTTCATGGCCACACAGACCCGTTGGAGCCCCAGGCATGATCCCAGCCTCAAGACGCACAGCTCTGAGCCCAGAGCCTTGGGCTTTCCTTCCACCCATCCTAAGGGCAGTGCCTGCTCCATGGCTTTGCCAATGTAAATTTGTCAAGGAACACAGCATCCTGACCAAGAGCACAGCAAAGAACGGAAGCCAAGTCAGTTGAGGCCTTTCCATTAGAGCCTTGACCCGCCTTCAAAGACTCCCGAAGCTCTCCCTGGACTAAGACAGGCTGTGCTGGACCAAGTCCCACAGATGTCTGCTTTAAAAAAAAAAGGCATTGCTTTTCAATAAAAGCCTTTGGGCTCAGCCAGGGGGCTAGAAACCTACAGCTGACATCTGTTTATTTACAGTTGCCATAATCACAGCCACAATTGCACTTTGCCTGCCTGTAAAGAGCAGCCATAGAAATTGTCTTCAGGAAGTCTGTGCACATGAAGAAGGAGTTTAATTTTGGGAGGAGGAGGAGGAGGAGGAGGAGGAGGAGGAGGAGGAGGAGGAGGAGGAGATTGTCCAGAGTGCCATAATTCCCCTTGCATTATTAATAGAGAATTGGCAATTACAGTGTGTAAAAACTGTTTGTCTGCCTAAAGCACACTCAATTACCCAACCCGCTGTTATAAATCTAGGCAGAGCCAGTCGGGGGTGTGTGTGTGTGTGTGTGTGTGCAAATAAATTAGCTCAGGGCTACAGGTGCAGGGCCAGAGATGACACGGGACAGCTAAACAGGAAGCAAAGGAGAAGGAGGCTTGCTCTGGCACCCTGGGGACGGCAAAATCATTGCCGTGTGTCTGAGAACCATTCTTTGCTTTCCACAGCTCCCCCAGCCCTGCAGCCTGCCCAAGGGCCTTTCACCAACATCAGGTTCCATGAGACACATACACAAACCAGCTGTGTCGAAGAAACTCACCTGTGTGCAGCTCTCTGGCTTCCCAGCTGATGCAGGCAGCCGAGCCTGACTTTCCCCCTCGGCTTTGCCTCCCTCACAGAGGAATACCCGGCTGTGAAGCTGAGCGATCTTGGGGAGATCCAAGGAGGCAAGAATCAATACAAGGAAAATAAAGGCTAAAAGAAACATATTCAGTAGCAAAGTGAGTTTTGCAAAGAAGCGCTTCCTCCCCTTCCTGGGGGATTCTTCCAAAGGGGCCCACCGTTCAGGTGCTGCCAAGCCCCAAAGAGGCCCGGTTCTCCCCAGGTGCAGCTCTCTGCCTGGTATCTGACGCTCCCACCCTCTCTGGCACCGGGGGATGTTGGGCTGCTGGAAAACTCCAGGGAAGGACGCAGCAGGCCAAGCCTCCATCAGCTGACCCGCCAAGCTGCATCTTCCACGCCAGGCCCCAACTGGGCTGCTTCTGAATCTTTAATGGGAGAAAAACGAGTGTGGCATTTTTCCTTTAAAGATTTACCATGTAATAAATGTATGAGAATATTAAAGGCAACAATTAACTTTATTGGAAACCTTATATTCTCCAGCCTCATTAGAACTGTCAGCAAGATCTATTATTAGTGTTACTATGCAGATAATGTAATAAAAAGGGTATTTAAAGTGGATGGTTTTGTATGGAAATAAAATAAGTTCTTCCTTTCTCCCTTTTTTAAAGTTGCAACAAACGGGAGACCCAGAGCAAAGCTACGAACTCTCCTGCAGTCAAGGAGGAATGGAAGTGCCAACAGCAGCTTCCCCCCCCCCCCCGCTTCATCTGCCGAGCCCCAAGACTTGGGTCCAGTTGGGGGGAAACTTGCCGGCTCTCTCCAGCCCCAGAGGGACCCCCCCCAAAAAGTGGTGCCCTGATTACCGCCCCTCCCTGGCAACCAGGGGAGGGAGGAGCCCTTGCCCAGAGGGTGCCTTTCCCAGGCCTGAGAGGAGCTCAGGACTTGGAGGATGTACCCCAAATGCTGGACTGAGCTTAAAGGGCTGCGATTAGAATGGCCCAGAAAGTCCGTCAGCACCAGAAAGCAGCCGTGATCTTCAGAAAAGCCATGGGGGGGCTTTTGCAGAGAGGGGAGAAAGAGGAGGCTGAGAGGCTCCCTCCCCCATTCCTGGAAGAAGTCGTTCAGACAGAGTGCCTGGCCTCTTCCCCCTCTAAAGACTCCCCTCCAGAGAGGGTCAGCCTCTGTGGGTGGCTTCTTCACTGTCACAAGACCCTTGGGGGGGGGGATCCTGACTGCTGCAAATCACTTAAGTCAATACTCGAAGAAATGGACCGTGGCGGGGGGGGGGGATCCAAAGAAACTCCTCCTGTTCTGGGGGCATCAGAGCAGCCCCAGACTCCGCCTGCCCAGGAGCCTTTATGATTTACTTACGAAAAGGGCACTTATTCTACTTCCCTTATGGCCGCCACAGCCCACAAGGACTATAAGTTAATTGAAGCCTCCTTAAGAAAAAAAACCCTCCTTTCGGTCCAGCAGCAACTCCAAAGCCCACAGGAGCCACCACCACGAATGAGGTAGGCCAACAAAATCAGCAGGCCAGAAGGAGAGTGTGAGAGAGTCGCTTGGAGACAGCCACGAGAGTCTTCTGAACTTCAGAGGACTCAGGCAAGTGGGATGAGATAAATTACCTTCTAAAGATGAAGACGAAACAAAGAGGAATCCAGCATGGCTTATCAACAAGGGGGCTTGGTGGATGCGGACAGTCAGTCAATCAGCCAGTCAGCCAGTCTATCTGGGGCCACCATGGGCATCCAGTCCAACCCCTTGCTCAGTGCGAGGTTAAAATATCTGTGACTAATCGGCCTGGATTTGGAAGCTGGTTTTCTGTGCCATGGTCTCTGCAAAAGGGCCTGCCGAACATTTGGGGGCTCATTGTCTGGGCCAATCACACCTGGCTGCCATGACTGGGCCTTTGGGTCACCTCGTATCTTCGAGGCTGCATGGGCTTGTCAAGATGTGTGAGCATGTGCCGACACGGAGACACAGAAGCACCAGCACTATATTATCATCCCTAAGTGGGGAACCAATTTGCATAACTTAATTAAAATTTTACAGTAATCTTCAACTTGAGACAAACAAACAAACAAAACACCCTCCTCTTCCTTAAACCTCAAGGTTAATTGGCTCCTCTTGGGTGTCTGTCACCTTGAGGGAAGCTGAATACCGAAGAGAGCAGTCAAGTCATCTGGGGCAATCTCACTTGCCAGGAGGGTGGATGTGGGGAGCTGTTGGGGGGGTGAATCCCAGGAGGGTCATGCATGGTGCTCCTTTTCTTGCTCATGATCAGGGGAGCCTCTTCACCTCTCCTCAGAAAACAAGCAGCCTATCACAAGCTTCCAATTAGCTTCCAAAGTTCCTGTGCTGCTCCCTATGAATTGATGCCATGTTCCTGCCAAGTGCATCCAGTTCTGTCTTTGGGGTCCCAGAACTGATGTCCTGACTCCATCAAATCAATATCTGTGGCAAGGAAGGCAGAGATAGGAACCTTCAGCTTGATGCTGCCCCTCAGTTGGTTCTCTTCTCCCCAGTCCTTTTTTCCAGGTATGTATACAGTCTCCTAAAAGGCTCAAGCATCTTGGGAAGGGTTCAACAAGCCCCACTGAGTCTGTCCAACAGATTCGGAAGACCTCCTTTCTTGGTGGAGACCAAGTCACTGGACGCTGCCATCAACGTTGCCCAAAGAAGCTTCAACATCTTCCCAACGCTGCCTTCTCCTTCTTCTAGATCTGCTTGGATGGCCACTTGTGGCATTTGGGGGCCCCTCCCCTTTTCTTCTCATGCGCCGGCCGTTCAGCGCTACTTCCCAGCTTTCCACTGTAAGGCACCCTCAAAATGCCTTTGAAGGATGTGGAAAGGCACAGAATCCCTGCTGGTTACACAGACCGAACAAAATCACACAAGAAATAATGCAGTACAAAGGCAGGCAGGCATGGGGGACACTCTCTGAGCACGCATGAAAAGATGACTCACCCCCATTCTTTCTGGTAGGCTGTTAAAACGCAGATCTCTATTGTGGAATCTGGAATTATTTGATATGGAATATTAGAGGATCTCTTAAGTATCCAATTAGCATGTAAGAGCCCCGTCTGGTGGAGAGTGTTTGCTTGTGTATGTTTTAAGTATTTACTCTTCCTTTCTAATTAGTGCTTCATAAAAAAATAAATAAGAAAAAGTATCTTGTCTTTGGGCCATCTGGATTTAAAGATTAAAACACTTGTTTTCTGCCAGGAAGGGAATAGATTCAACGTGTCTCTAGATAAAGCAAGGTGTGAGTGTCCAGATATGCAGCACAGGAAATTGTGAGTTTTTTTTGTGTGTGTGTGTGTGTGTGTTTAGCTGGCGGTGCAGGAGCATTTTCAGCTTCCTGTGAACAGATGCAGAAAAGGTCCTCTCCCAATTGATCCTGCGGCAGCTCCTGAAAGGGAAGCAAAGGCTGGGCAGGGTGTCCTGTCCCAACTGCCTCACCTGAGACACTTCTGCGAGAAAGGAGGGTTGAAGCCAAGACCCAGAGCATCCCTCCCTTTCCTTCTCAGGAAAAGGATAGCCCTAATTCCACGTTTCTGCAAGTCTTTATCCATGGTCATCATCACCAGAAAACGTATGCATACTTGCATATATGTGGCATTTGGCAGAAATCTTGGCAATCTCAGCTTTCCTTTTTAAAAAATTACAATGCTTAATGATAATTTGCCTTATCTGGAAGAGTCTTTGCATTTGGGGTCTCTGGGACCAGCTCAGTGAGTTGCATAGATGCTTCTGCAGGTATCTCTGATGGCCTCTCCCTGGGCACCCGCACCAGGCGTCCCTTCCTGTCTCCCCTTCAGGAGCAACTGAGGCAGGGAGGCCTGTCCTTTGGGGTGGCTGCTCTGAGTGTCTGTCTTTCTCTGAGGAGGCTTCAGAAAAGCTTCAAGCCACCTGGCTCCCCTGATGACACATCCTCAGCCTTCCTAATGCACAGCCAAGAAAAGCTGCTCCCTGAGCCAAGAAAAGTGCCAGTCTCCAGGAGAAAGAGGGAGCGAGCCCCAAACAGGGTGGTCATGACCATTTGGTCATTTTGAAGACTGCAGGACAAGCCTTCTCCTAACTGGGCTGGGCTGCTCCCTGGGGGTGTCTCAACTGTTCCTCAATGTAAGCAGGCACAAATGCCAAAATCAGGCAAAAGAGAAAAAAATAGGAGAGGGGGAATTAGTTCAGCTCAACTGCAGAATCCCCTTCCAAAGAGCCTGTTGCAGAAGGCCACAAGAGGTCAGTCACTGGAGCCTCAGGAGGTCCCGCTGAATTACAGCAGGAGACCAGAAATGACTGTGGGTTAGAATCACACACACACATGCACGCTCACACCAGCACCCCCTAGATTCTGTCTGCAGGACAAAGGGGGGGGCTGCCCTCTGCCTAGGCTGCCCAAGACCTCTTTGGCCCAAGACCTTCCTGGAAACAATGGCAGTGCCCAGAGTGCCTGAGCTCTGACTGCACAAGGCCCAGCTATCCCCACCCCCAAACCCCACCCCCACACCCCAGCCAGAGCACTTGGGCCTTGAGGGTCCTTGGGGTGGGGGCTCTGCTGTGGCCCAAGGGAAGATCTGTCAGGGCAGGAAGACAGGGTTGTTCCAGCCTCCCAGCTGGTGGATTTCCTAAGAGGCTTTTTGGCTCTTTAGCTGCTGCTTTAATTACTTTGCATTGTGTTGCCCTCACAAGGTTCTTGAGGGGGTGGGTTTCCTCGTCACCATCACCATCCTCACTTCCTCCCTCCTTCCTTCCTTCCTTCCTTCCTTCCTTCCTTCCTTCCTTCCTTCCTTCCTTCCTTCCTTCCTTCCTTCCGGGGCCCTGCCCACCAGACTGCCCTGCCGGCCATTCTTTGCCCCACCAAGCAGAGAGGGGCCCAAGAGAAACCCCCCCACCCATTCTTGCCTCTCCCCAGAAGCCAAAGATTTCGGAGAAGCTCTGGGAAGCTCCTCTTTGAGCCTGACCCAGTCTGGAGTTGCATGTCTGAATACCAAACATGTTAATAGGTTAAAGTAAATCTAAAGTTACATTTGAAAGCCAAAAAGATGAAAGTAGATCACAGGCCAAAGATCAAACAATCTAGAACCACTTCTAAGCTTTTTACTGCTGGAGATTATTAGCATTTGAAAGTGAAGAGCATTAGATGGGGGGGGGGAGAGAGAATGAAGTTGGGAGGAATTTCAGCGGTGCAGATAAAACAGAAATCAAACAGGAGCCCAGCAAAGGTTGCTGGCGAGACGGATGGCAGCGGTTCCGAAAGGCGGGGCGGGACGGGGCTTATTTTTAGAAATCAAAGGCATGTTTTAGCCGCTTGGATTGGAAGTAAAGTGGGGAGGGGGAGGGCGGCGACGGGGCCCGCGGGGGGCTGGCAGGCCATCCGGGAGGGCCCTCCGCCCCATCTCGCCAGCCCCAGCGGCGTCCCCGAGCCGGCCTCTGGGGAAAGCTGGAAGCGGACGACGAGAGCTGCGGCCGCGGCCCCCCAGCCCAGGCCGACCCCCGGAGCGCGCCCGAAGTCGGAAAGAGGCGAAGGCGACTCGCCCTCGGCGGAGCTTCTGCCGGCCGGGCTCACGAAGGTCTGGGAGGGAGGGCAGGGCAGGGCGGAGCTCTCCAGGGTCCTGGAGCCCCGGCCGGACTCGGGCGGGGAGAGGAGGAGAGGAGCACGTGAAAGCCCTCCCCTGCCGGCAAGCCTACTCGGGGAAAGGCAAAGGGACCCCCAAATTTTGAGGGGGCATTTTATGCCCAGGGCAGCTTCCACCAAGGGGGCACTTTTGGGTGGATTTTCAGAGAGGATTTCCCGGTGGGCTCCCACCCCAACTTACCGTCCAAATTAGCTCTTGTAAAGTGCGCTCAACCGGCTAAGTCGCAAAACAGGAAATGCTCAATTGTGTGTGTGTGTTGTTTCGTTTTTTTCAAACTGGTTCTGCCAGTTGGTTGCTTGCAACTGTAGAGGGCTGGTTATAATCCCTTGATGTTATTTGATTTCCATTGTTTTCTTTGTCAGGCCGATCCAGATATTTTTATTATGTTGGCTCTTCTATCTGTAATTATAGCACATGAGTTCTTACAACATGACGTTTTGATCGTTATTCTATTATTTCCCTTTTAAATAATGATATGACACCTGGATAATTACTTTGATAAGCATCTGATCAATACTAAAAACAAATAATCTGCTATTTTAATTTAATCTACACTTCTTTCAATCACTCAGTGAATGGCAAAAAAGGTATTTGTATATGTCTCTGTGTGCACATGTGCGCACATAATAAATCCACCCAAGTATGACAATGATTCACAAAGGTGATTCATTCTTATTGAATTTTTTAAAAAAAAAAACACCAATCATTTAGTTCAAGGAGTTTGGGATTCATTTCCCAATACCTCTGGGCTCAGTGAAAAGGATACGGAGGTTTGGATTGCTTTTCAACAGATTTGAATGTTTGTGTCTATCCAGCCCATCTGTAGACAGAGAACAACCAAGGTGAATTAGCCAGCATATTACTCCCTGTTTAGCCATAGTTTGCTGACTGAAAGCACCACAATATTCACCAGATACCAAGTTGTAAGAGGGCTGCTGTGGTTAGCTTAGTGTGTTGTTTGTGCTGCACCGAGTGACCCTGAGATGCTGCTTGGAGCCACAGCAGGTTGGAAGAAGCTGCCATTGGATGGTCAAGAATATTGTGACACACACACTCCATGCTCCGAATCTAGAATTGTGGGCACCTGGGGACCAAGGACGACACCTGGACAACTGCATCATTCCACAAATGAAACAGGTGTGTGATGGTCATTGTTTGTGTGAGTCACTTTGAGCCCATGCATCTTGTGGCTGCCCTCCTGGCTCCTTGTTCCCAAGGAAGAGAGACCCCCTGCCTTGCCCCACCAACCACTCCCCAGGTCTCAGCTTTCCTGCAAGGGAGAGTGGATCCCCTATGCATGTGAGGCAATGTGTTGGGAAGGAATCTCAGTGGCTGTCCCTGCCCAGCCCCAGGAAACCACAGGCAGATAACCAGCCCGCCCCCCTCCCTCAGGTGAGGTTTGCCCCAGAGAGGCCAAGAACATGACAAGCTGCCCTCTCCAAATTGCTGCTCTTAGTAGAAGACACGAGAAGTGAGGAGAGGTGAGGACTGGGGAATGCTTGTCAGGGGGGCCTGTGGAAGCCCGAAATGTCTATGCTTGCTCAGCCATGTGGAAGGCAGCTGGAGCTGCTGGGGGCACACTGAGAAAGAGCCAGTCACGTTGCTTGGGGAAGGAGATGAGGCTCCAAAGGTACTCGTGGATGTTGCCCCCACATCTGCAACCTTCAGCTCAGGAAAAGCCTCCAGCACCCTCTTTGAGCAGAAGGCATAAAGCAAGAACAGGGAAACTGCCCCCCCCCCAGCAATGCCTGGGGCTATAGCTGGGCAGACCTTCAGGTCTGATGCTGGGTTCCAAACAAGATCCAGCCTCAGCCGTCCTCCTTGGGAGTAACCCTCGCAGCTCCCTCAGCATCTCTGAAGGTCCAGCAACAGCTTTTGAGTCAGGGGGTCTTCGGGGGTGTATGGAAGGGATCTCGAGAGGGCCCTAAGAAATGTCTGTCAGCTCCAGGATGGCCCAGAGTGCTGGGAGAAAAGGCTCTCCAAAGTCAAGAGCTCTGGACCATCCAGAAGACAAGGGAGGGCCCTTTGCTTTCTATGGTTTCCAACCTCAAGTCCTGTGAAAGCAAAGGGGGGGGGGAGAGGGAGAGTGTGCAGAAAGCAACAAACCCTGACTATTATATGCAGCCATTGTCGTAAAAAACATTGAAGTTGATGGTTCCCAGAGGGACTTGCTAACATATTGATTTACTCCAGTGTAACCCCCCACAGGCTCTGAATGTGGCTCCCACTCAGCTGCCTATAAAATCAATCCCAGCTTTTCAGCACTGTTGACAGGGCCGTCTAATATTAATCCACTCACCTTGTCAGTCAACCCTGCTTACAAAGGCTCTAATGATCTTTACACTGTATGAAGCCAGGCAGCACTCCGAGGGGGGGGGGGATATTTCATGCTTGCTGCATGAAAGGAAGAGGAAGGAAGGAAGGAAGGAAGAGGAAGGAAGGAAGGAAGGAAGGAAGGAAGGAAGGAAGGAAGGAAGGAAGGAAGGAAGGAAGGAAGGAAGGGAGGAAGGAAGGGAGGGAGGAAAGAAGGACCATCTGTTGAACACAGTTCCCTCTTTAGCCAGACATTAAGGATCAGGGTTCAGCGGTCCTGCAGCACAAAACAGAATACTTGAAATGAAACCATCTTGGGGGGGGGACTCTGGGCATGCAGCAGACACTTCCCCTGTGTTATTGAGTCATCACACAAAAGGGCAAGACTATTAGCAGCACACAAAGGGCCCTGTTTGCCACCGAGCCAATAGCCCACAAATTCCAGGCCAAGATGCAACCGATGCCAGCCAACAGGCTTGCCACAAATCTCTGAAGCATAGCTGAAGTCCAAGCGCTGGGCAAAACGGTGTGAAACATCATTGTGAAACATCATTATGGAACCTCGGCAGGCCTCAAGAGTTATGGAGAGTGGGCCATGGCAAAGCAGCAGAGCGGCTAATCAGAGATAGAATATGTGAAAAAGACACACCAAGAACATAAGAACATTGCTGATTGGTTCAGTTCTCACAATGGTTTCATACACACATACACACATGCACATTTATTCCCTGTAAAATACCTTCAGGGGCTTTGCTTTGCAACACTGCCTGCAGGCTACTTGGGTAGCGCGCAAAATCAAGAAAGACGATGAAATCAATTCCACTGCATCTCTGATCAGGAGGAAGTCTCGGATAGATTCCTCTTGCCTCGTGCGATGTGAGAAGCCTCTAACCCCCTCCTCTGGGCCACCTTCCTTCTGGCGGAGACAAGGCAGCATCCGAAGAGCCTGCCTGTGTGCTGAGGCAAAGGCTGCCCACCACTAGGGAGGCCGTGTGCAGCAGGAAATCCTGCCAATCCTGTAGTTCCAATCTGAGAGGAAGGGTCCTCCTGTCCTGGCAGGCTGGCTGTATGTTGTGCCACAGCCCCCAGCCCCCTTTCTCACAAGGAGCCACTTTTCGTGGACTCCTGGAAGACCATTTATGTTCGCTATTGATGTTGAGGATGCCCGGTTGCCGTGAGTAACTGCCTCGATCGGATGGGATGTTCATCTTTGGTCCTGCGGTGCTTGTCTTGGGGCTGACCTGCGATTGTTTAAAATGCTCCAACTTCATGCTTGATGTTTGCTCAGCTCAACTGAATGTATTTGTCTAAAAAAGACGAACTGAGCAAACAGCACCAGCCGAGATGCCTCCCAGCCTCAGGCTGAACAGATTGACTCGCAGGTAGGTTGAATGGCGCCTCCTGGGGACGTGACGGCTCTACAGCCAGAGAGAAGCTGTGGGCCACGGCAGCCCCTTCTGCATTTGGTTTATTAAAACTACTCATTTATGAAATTTATTTATTTTATTTATTTATTTATGAGACTTATATACCGCTTTAAGTGCAAGCACTCTCTAAGCGGTGTACACCAGTAAGCAATGTATATATATATATATATATATATATATATATATATATATATATATATACATTGCCCCCAACAATCTGGGTCCTCATTTTACCTACCTCGGAAGGATGGAAGGCTGAGTCAACCTTGAGCCGGTGAGATTTTTGAACTGCTGACCTGCTGAACACAGTCAGTTAAAGTGGCCTGCAGTACTGCACTCTAACTGCTGCATCTGCCCGACAGGGCAATTCAGAAAAGATTAAACAGCCCACCCAAATACTACAATGAAGGTGGGACAAAAGGCTGGAGAGCTCCAACTGGACCTCTGGTAATTCCACAGGACCTCTCAGCGCTTCCTGGGCTGGGCTCCTCCCTGCCTGCGCCTTCCCACCAACCCTGGACCCACTCTGCTTCTCTCTCTTCTCCCGGAGGAGGGCTTAGGTGCCCTGTGTGGCCCTCAGGCCTTGGCAGAGGAAGGGCTGAATGAGAGCTGGCTTGGGTTGGTATAGTGGTTAAAGCGCTGGATTAGAAACTAGGTGACTGTGAGTTCTAGTCCTGCTTTAGGCACAAACTCAGCTGAGTAACTTTAAGCCAGTTATTCCCTCTCAGCAGAGGGAGGTGGAGGGAGGAAGGAGGAAGAGGAGGTGACAGGAAGGTAAATTCCCTCTGTGAAAGCAGCAAGGATGTGGCCAGGCAGCCAGGAGTCAAGACTAACTCTAAGTCTTCCCCAAAAGGAGTTAATCGGTATGTGAAACACATTAGTGCCCCCTGTTGCTGTTGCTGCTGTTGTTGCAACCAAAAGGCATGTTCTGTCCCCCCCACCCCATTTCACACACACACACATATACAATTCTGCAAGGCTCCATCTTTCCCTTTTTTAAACCTCCTGCTACTAGCTAAGCTTTGCTGCAGGGGCCTCTCCCACCCTGCTGACTCAGCAGCTGCACTTTCTGGATGCACTCAAGGCTGAGGGCAGGAAGGGGGCCCCTGGGGTGGCACAGACCTTTCCACCCACCTCCTGGCAGGGAGAGTTTGGGAAATGCAGAGCTGCACCACAATAACCCCAGTCCAAGTAAGAATGTGTGTGCCCAGAGTGTGTGATCGTGATCCCGGAAGTTAGATCTAGCGAATTACACATACATACACACAAGCACACCAGCAGGTGACCCTTCCCTGGTCTGCTTCCCTTTGTCTGGTCAGAGGAAGATCTGACTGTTTAACTTCAAGCTTGGAGCTTTCTTGCTCCTGGTCTTCTTCCTTGCTTTGTGCCTTCTAGATGGCAAGTGAAAAGACAACGTTGTGTTCTTGATTACCAAAAACAGCCATCGCAGTCTCTCCTAACTAACGTAGCCATCTGTGTGAGGAAGGGACGCCAAAGAAGCACCTTTGTTTTGCTATAACAATGAAACGTCTAAATGTCCTGTGATCCATTATGGCCTCTTTGGAAAGGAAACCCGTGCAAAATCAGCATTGATTCATGTCCCCCCACCTTCAGTGAGGTGGGATCCAAAAGTGAAAATGCAAGAAAGGTCAAATCTGCTCTGTCAGTATTTCTGCACATTTGGCCAAACTGAAATGACAAACTTCATTGGCATGCAAATGGGCCTAATTGATAACAACTCCCTCTCTGGGTGACTCGCAAAGGGAAAAGGAGGACGCACAAAATGTTTCTGATTGTGACAATTCTCCAAAGGCCTTTCCTCTTTGCTCAGCAAAGAAAGGCCATCTCCACAAATTAAAGAGAGTGGAGCAAAATCAGATTAATTAATGCCAAAACCAATTTCTGTATGCAAAGAAAATGACAGAGGAAAGTGGGATTTATCAAGAGACAAGTTCATCAGTCTGAATGTCTCTATCACTGCAGCTGCAGAGACCCACAGAGTGGGGCTGGCTTCCCCCCCCCCCCAGCCAGCCAAAGAGCCTGGGGGGAGTCAGGAAGGAGCCACAAGCCTTGGCCCTCCCGGCTTCTAAGGCACAGCAGGGCTCCCTTCCCCTCCCCATTGGCCTCTGCAACGCCCCTCCCTTCCCTATTGGGGTGGGAAGCAGAACTGCACCCCAAGGCTGGATCCGGCCCAATGCACCAGAGTTTGACGTAGCCTGAACGGAAGGGAAGG